GGGGTAAAGGAGGGGCAAAGTTACAGAAACCAGAAAGAATGCCACACAAAAGATGGCCGGCTTCTCGCGTGAAGGGAGATTCGGATACGGGGGCCTGATGGATTTAGTTTAAGCGGTTTGCCTGCAGCGAGTAAATTATTGAAACGTTCGGACTTAACAAGACTAAATTTACTGGGGATAAAAGTTGAGATTTGGCCGGGCGCGATGGCTCATGCCTGTAATCTCAACACTTTGGGAAGCTGAGGCGGGTGGATCACCTGAGGTCAGGAGTTCGAGACCAGCCTGGCCAAAATGTCGTAAACCCCGTCTCTAGTAAAAATACAAAAATTAGCCCAGAGTGGTAGCTTCCGCCTGTAATCCCAGCTACCCAGGAGGCTGAAGCAGGAGAATCGGTGGAACCCGAGAGGCAGAGACTGTAATGAGCCGAGATCGTGCCACTGCACTCCAGCCTGGGCGACAGAGCAAGACTCGGTCTGGGAAAAAAAAAAAAAAATTGAGATTTGGTCCTATGCAGTAAGAGGGCATGGAAAAGAGGAGCCACCCAACTTTGGACATTAAAGTTGGAGCAGGCAAAGATGAGGCCAGCTGTGTCGCGAAGCCTGGGACCGGGGCAGCTCTTGAGTACACCGGGTTCGAGTCTGGGGGAAACCGTCAAAGTAGAGATGGGGTTATAAAACAAACCAATAAAAACCGGTGTATGTGTCAAGGAGGGACCTTAGTTTAGCTATCTGCCCATATACAACACCTAGTGGAAATCCGAGTTCCAGTCCCTACTCCGCCACTGATTTCTTGTGTGACCAGGACTCTCTGGGTCCCTTTGTCACGCTGCCCTCCTCGCTTTTCCCACTGAGGCACACTGCACCTCTGGGATTTTGCTGTTATCCAAGTCTAGAATCGAATGCAGCGGTGCCCCCACTCCCATTCCCTTCCCCATCGGATATCTGCGTGGCATCTTCAGGTGTCTGCTCTGATGCCATTCACTCAACCTCCTATTTAGAATTGCAATGCCCGGCCCCAACTCCCTATGCTGCGTTATTGCTTTCTGTTTCTTCCATGCGCTGTCACCAGAGGTGATACAAATTTGGAAATAATAGAGCTTAAGCTTTACAGACCTTCGATTTGGTTCAGGACCCTCCCTGAACCAAGGAAGAGTCCCAGTCTCATGTCCTCATGGTCCTTTGCTTTTGTAAAATTTGTGAAATATTTTTATTGCGGAAACCACCTTTGCAAAAATTATAACAGTGAGAAAATAATGACAGTGAAAGAGATCTGATCTAACCAACCCTCATCTTCCATTTAATCTCCAGACTGCCCTTAATCATTCCTGGCTCAAACCAAGCTAACTTTGGGAGACATTTAGTTTCTAGTTTTTTTGTTTGTTTGTTTTTTGTTTTGAGACAGAGTCTGGCTTTGTCGTCCAGGCTGGAGTGCAGTGGCCCCATCTCGGCTCACTGCAAGCTCCACCTCCTGGGTTCAGGCCATTCTCCTGCCTCAGCCTCCCAAGGAGCTGGGACTACAGGCGCCCGCCACCACGCCCGGCTAATTTTTTTTTGTATTTTTAGTAGAGCTGGGGTTTCACCGTATTCGCCAGGATGGTCTTGACCTCCTGACCTCATGATCCACCCGTCTCAGCCTCCCGAAGTGCTGGGATTACAGGCGTGAGCCACCGCGCCCGGCCAGTTTCTAGTTTAAATGATAACAACCAGTGGCTGGGCGCCGTGGTTCACACCTGTAATCCCAGCACTTTGGGAGGCCGAGGCGGGCGGATCACGAGGTCAAGAGTTTGAGACCAGCCTGACCAATATAGTGAAACCCCGCCTCTACTAAAAAAAAAAAAATACAAAAATTAGCTGGGCCTAGTGGCACGCGCCTGTAATCCCAGCTATTTGGAAGGCTGGGGCAGGAGAATGGCTCGATCCCGGGAGGTGGAGGTTGTAGTGAGCCGAGATCACACCACTGCATTCCAGCCTGGGCAACACGGCGAGATTCCGTCTCAAAAAATAAATACATACATAAAATAAATAAATGATAATAACCTTTCTCCAAGGCCTGGCACCGTGGCTCACACCTGTAATCCCAGCACTTTGGGAGGCCAAGGCAGATGCATCACCTAAGGTCGGGAGTTTGAGACCAGCCTGGCCAACATAGTGAAACCTCATCTCTACTAAAAATACAAAATTAGCCGGGCATGGTGGCATATGCCTGTAGTCCCAGCTATAGGCTGAGGCAGGAGAATCACTTGAACCCAGGAGGCGGAGGTTCTAGTGAGCTGAGGTCGCACCACTGCACTCCAGCCTGGGCAACAAGAGCAAAACTCCGCCTCAAAAGAAAAAAAAAAGAAAAGAAAAGAAAGAAAAAAAAGAAAAGAAATTACCTGAAATCCTATAGCCCATATATGACAGGAATTTGATACAGGTTGCTCCAATTTGACAACAATTCTCAAAATGTTCATGACATTTGAGAAGGAGTTGTGAAGTCAGAAGATTTTCTTTTTTTTTTGAGACGGAGTCTTGCTTTGTCACCCAGGCAGACTGGAGTGCAGTGGCGCGATCTTGGCTCACTGCAAGCTCCACCTCCCGGGTTTGCACCATTCTTCTGCCTCAGCCTCCCGAGTAGCTGGGACTACAGGCGCCCGCCACCACACCCAGCTAATTTTTTTTTTTTTTTTTTTTTAAGTAGAGATGGGGTTTCACGGTGTTAGCCAGGATGGTCTCAATCTGCTGACCTTGTGATCCACCTGCCTCGGCCTCCCAAAGTGCTGGGATTATAGGCGTGAGCCCCCGTGCCTGGCCAGTCAGAAGATTTTCACTGGGCCGAATGTGGTGGCTCATGCCAGCACTTTAGGAGGCCAAGGTGGGAGGAGCACTTAAGCTCAGGAGTTCAAGATCAGCCTGGGCAATATAGTAAGACCCCATCTTAAAAAAAGAAAATTGGGGCCTAGGCACTGTGGCTCACGCCTGTAATCTCGGCATTTTGGGATGCAGAGGCAGGAGGATCCCTCGAGGCAAGGAGTTCAAGACTAGCCTGAACAACAAAGTGAGACTATGTTGGCAAAAAAATAAAAATAAAAAAATTAGCCAGGCATGGTGATACATGTCTGTGGTCCCAGCTACTCAGGAGGCTGAGGTGGGGAGGAAAGCTCGAGTGCAGTGAGCTGTGATCACACCACTGCACTCCAGCCTGAGTGACAGTGAGAGATCCTGTCTCAGCACTTTATCCATTATGGGGCAGACGAGGAGAGTACAAATAAACATAGCATTTTTCTCCATATAGTACCATGATAAACCTCACAATGGCGACCTGCAAACACTGAAAATTCTGGAAGTGCTTTTCCAATTGTAAGAGATTTTTTCTTTTTTTCTTTTTTTGAGATGGAGTCTCGCTCTGTCACCCAGGCTGGACTGCCATGGCACAATCTCAGCTCACTGCAACCTCTGCTTCCCAGGTTAAAACGACTCTCCTGTCTCAGTCTCCTGAGTAGCTAGGATTACAGGTATGCGCCACCACACCCGGCTAATTTTTGTATTTTTAGTAGAAACAGGGTTTCATCATGTTGTCCAGGCTTGTCTTGAACTCCTGACCTTGTGATCTGCCCATCTTGGCCTCCCAAAGTGCTGGGATTACAGGCGTGACCCACCATGCCCGGCTGAAAGATTACATTTTAACTGGGTTGAGTGAAAGGGTTTATATATGGCAAAAACTTTTGCCTGGACACAAGACCTGGTCCCATGAGAGCTGGGCAACAGTGAGTGAGTCTCTTCTCTCTGCTTTTCTTTTTTTTTTTTTTTTTTTTTTTTTGAGACGGAGTCTCGCGCTGTTGCCCAGGCTGGAGTGCTGCGGCCGGATCTCAGCTCACTGCAAGCTCCGCCTCCCGGGTTTACGCCATTCTCCTGCCTCAGCCTCCCGAGTAACTGGGATTACAGGCGCCCCCCAACTCACCCGGCTAGTTTTTTGTATTTTTTTAGTAGAGACGGGGTTTCACCGTGTTAGCCAGGATGGTCTCGATCTCCTGACCTCGTGATCCACCCGCCTCGGCCTCCCAAAGTGCTGGGATTACAGGCTTGAGCCACCGCGCCCGGCCTTTCTCTCTGCTTTTCAACTCATCTATAAAATAGGGACAGTCCTTCTTGTCTACTTTATAGAAGTGTTTGTGGGGTACGGGATTGTGAGAAGTTTTACGAAAAGGTGCACCCATGAAATGTTGCTTGAGGAACACTTTTTTGTTTCCTAGTCTCCTCCCATTGGACTGTGAGCATCTCAGGGGCACCAAGTCTGATCCTGTGTCCAGGACCTGGCAGTCAACTGGCTCAGTGACTGGCTGTCGAACTAAACTATTGCTCTAATGTAATCACTTTGTATTACAAATCTTTGTAAATCAGCTATCTACGTCGGGGTTACCTAGAGAACTCTGACTAAAGGAAATCCATTGCATTTAGACACTATGACTCACAGTTTGTAGTGATATCTCCAAATTTCAACACATTTTCCCTTTCCCACGTACATTATGCATTTGTGGGAAGTTCTTTTTTTCTTTTTTTTTTCTTTTTTTGCGTTCATTGATTTACAACATCTATATCTATCTACATGAATAGCGTGGCTTCTTCATTTTCCTTTGTGAGTCCCTGCAAATCATCTTAATCTGATTGGCTAAGGTATCTGCTTGTTCTTTCGTTAGACCGGAAAATGGAGAGGAAAAAGAAAAAAAGAGACCGGGCGCGGTGGCTCACGCCTGTAATCCCAGCACTTCGGGAGACCGAGGTGGGCGGATCTCGAGATCAAGAGATCGAGACCATCCTGGCCAATATAGTGAAACCCCATCTCTACTAAAAATAAAAAAATTAGCTAAGCGTGATGGCGCGCGCCTGTAGTCCCAGTTACTCGGGAGGCTGAGGCAGGAGAATCGCTTGAACCCAGGAGGCGGAGGTTGCAGTGAGCCAAGATCGCGAACCTGGCGACAGAGTGAGACTCCAAAAAAAAAAAAAAAAGTGTCTGAAATGCCATTTTATGGGCTCCGGTAGCGACGTACCGCGAAAGCCAAAGTCACTTTAAGTTTATGATTGGTTATTATGTCTGTCAGTCACGTTGCCGGAAATCCTGTCCAATTATCCTGCTTATACTGTGCCCTCCCTTTCCGATTGGTTTTGGGAGGGGTTTAAGCTGGAAGGGTCGTCATTGGTTCGCCGCTACGGCTCGGCCTGAGCCCACCCCGGCTCGGTTGCCGTGGTTTCAGGCCCGGCCAGCCCGCCCGCTAGCTGACAGCGCGACTCAGATAGGAGGGAAGTAGGTCCGTTGGTCGATCGGGAACGAGGCTCCGGCGGCCAGGCCCGCGCGGAGCCGTTGCCATGGCAGCCGCCGCCGGGGACGCGGACGACGAGCGGCGCTCGGGCCACTCGAGCTCGGAGGGCGAGTGCGCGGTGGCGCCGGAGCCGCTGACGGGCGCTGAGGGCCTCTTCTCCTTCGCCGACTTCGGGTCTGCGCTGGGCGGCGGCGCGGGCCTCTCGGGCCGAGCGTCCGGCGGGGCCCAGTCGCCGCTGCGCTACCTGCACGTCCTGTGGCAGCAGGATGCGGAGCCGCGCGACGAGCTGCGCTGCAAGATCCCCGCCGGCCGACTGAGGCGCGCCGCCAGGCCCCACCGGCGGCTCGGGCCCACGGGCAAGGAGGTGCACGGTGAGCGGCGCGAGCAACCGGGGCGGAGCAACCCGGATGAGGGGCGGGGCTTTGGAGGACGGCTGGCGGCGCTTTGGTCGCCCCCGACCCTCAGTCGCGGTCCCCCGACGTCTGCGCTGAGGGTCACACTGACCCCTGAGTCTCCTTTCAGTAATGACGGTGATGATGGTTTTTAAAAAAGTCTTCCTGCTCTGAGACAGTCACCCCAGACTTCTCTCACTGGGGAATTTCTGAATGGAAACTTCCCATGACTCGGAACACTTATTGGTGGATAATAAAATGAGGTACTGGAGAACACTTTTATTATCAGGGAGAGGGGAGGCCAGAACCTGCAGCCAAGTCGTATCAGCTTGTTTAAATGCACGGACTTGGACTCCTTTACCACGTTAAGACCTTAGGGCAAATGATAGACCCTTTCAACTTTAGTTTACTTTTTAAATTTTTTTATTTTTTATTTTATTTTATTTATTATTATTATTATTATATTTTTTGAGACGAAGTCTCTCTCTGTTGCCCAGGCTGGAGTGCAGTGGCGTGATCTCGGTTCACTGCAACCTCCGCCCCCGGGTTCAAGCGATTCTCCTGCCTCAGCCTCCCGAGTAGCTGGGGTTACAGGTGCCCGCTACCACCCCCAGTTAATTTTTGTAATTTTAGTAGAGATGGGGTTTCGCCATGTTGGCCAGGCTAGTCTCGAACTCCTGACCTCAGGTGATCCACCTGCCTCGGCCTCCCAAAGTACTGGCATAACAGACATGAGCCATTGGCCTGGCCTCAGCCTTAGTTTTCTCATTCGTAAAATGGGATGAGTTAAGTAAGGTAATGGATGTTTAGTTGTTATGCTGCTTTTGTTGTGCCCCAAACATGCTGATACATGATCATTTGTCCTCACAAGAACTCTTTGAGATATAGAAATTCTTCCCATTTTACTGAAGAGGAAACTGAGGCTCAGAGAAATTGTCTTATTCCAGGACATAGCAAGTGGCCGTTGCTGATATTAGAATCTGGGTCAGCCCGACTCAAACTCCTGCTCTGGTATATCTACCATATTGTCTTCTATATTACATGGGTGAAATGGAAACCCAGGCACTGAGAGATTAAGAATGGGGACTTTCGGGATTCCTTCCAGGACTGGCTATGACTAGCCATATTTTCATCATGTCGCAAAGATTAAGAATTTGGAAGTGTTGTATAGACTGTACAGTGCTGTATGAAAGCAAGGAATTGTTATGTATCTGAATTGCAATTTTTGACCGTATCTCCAATGACAAAAACATTGCTTTTCATTAGCCATTGGAGGGGGAAAAACTTTCTGCTTAGGAAATACCAAATTTAGGCAAATCATTTGGGAACGACCTGCTTTGAAGGAGAATATAAGATGATCTGTGTAACCAGCTCACAAAGAGCTTCCATGTAAATCATTTACAATAACTCAGGGCTGGCAGAACAACTCAGCCTTGTTGTGCAGATGATAGACCGGAGGCCCGGCGGGGTTAACTAGCTTGCTCAAGGTCACCCTGCGACTACAAGTGATAGAGAGGAAATCTGGTTCCAAAAAAAGTTGGAGGATTTGCAGGAGCATGTGGCCTTTGTACTAGCTCCGCCTCATTTCAAGTTCCTCCTTGTTCCCAGGGCACTGTCTTTCTTTTCTTGTTTGAAGACAGAGTCTCACTTTACCACCCAGGCTGCTGTGCAAGTGGTGCAATCTTGGCTTACTGCTTCAGCCTCCCAAGTAGCTGGGACTACAGGCCCACGCCACCACACCCAGCTAGTTTTTGTATTTTTAGTAGAGAGAGGGTTTTACCATGTTAGATAGATTTAAGTTAGAACTTAACCTAAGATTTAGAAATATGTTTTCTTTCTTTCTTTTTTTTTTTTTTTGAGATCGAGCGTTGCTCTGCCACCCAGGCTGGAGTGCCGTGGGGTGATTTTGGGCTCAAGTGATTCTTGTGTCTCAGCCTCCCAAGTAGCTGGGATTACAGGCATGCACCACCACACCTGCCTACTCTTTGTATTTTTATTTTATTTATTTATTTATTTTTATTTTATTTTACTTATTTATGTATTTATTTATTTATTTTGAGACGGAGTCTCATCTGTCGCCCAGGCTGGAGTGCAGTGGCACAATCTTGGCTCACTGCAACCTCTGGCTCTCAGGTTCAAGCGATTCTCCTGCCTTAGCCTCCCGAGTAGTTGGGATAACAGGCATGCACCACCATGCCTGGCTAATTTTTGTATTTTTAGTAGAGACAGGATTTCACCTTACTGGCCAGGCTGGTCTCAAACTCCTGACCTCGTGATCCACCCACCTTGGCCTCTCAAACTGTTGGGATTACAAGCGTGAGCCACTGCACTCGGCCTTTTTTTTTTTTTTAATCCTTTTTTTTTTTTCTTTTTTTTTTTTTTCCTTTTTTTTTTTTCTTTATTTCTTTTTTTTTTTGGTGAACAGTCTCACTCCTGTACCAAGCTGCGAGTACACGTGGCACATCTGCACCTTGCCTGTGGGCCTTAACATTCTCCTGCCTGAGCCTCCCAAGTAGCTGGGATTATAGGTGTGCACCCCCATGCCCAACTAATTTTTTGTATTTTGCTGTAGACAAGGTTTCACCATGTTGCCTAGGGTGGTTTCAAACTCTAGAGCACGGGCAATCTGCCCGCCTCGGCTTTCCAACATTCTGGGATTACGGGCGTGAGTCACCACCACGTCTGGCTATTTTTGTATTTTTAGTAGAGATGGGGTTTCACCTATTGGCTGGGCTGGTCTTGAACTCCTAGCCTCAAGTGATCTACCTGCCTTGGCCTCCCAAAGTACTGGGATTATAGGCATGAACCACCGTGCCCGGCCATCATAGCTTTTTTTTTTTTTTTTTCTCCCTGAGACAGAGTCTCGCTTTGTCTTGCAGTGACGTAATCTCAGCTCACTGTAGCCTCCACCTTCTGGCTTCAACCCATTCTCCTACCTCAGCCTCCTAAGTAGCTGGTATTACAGGCGCACACCACCACACCCGGCTAGATGGCTATTTTTTTGTTTTTGTTTTTGTTTTCTAAGACAGAGTATCACTCTGTCACCCAGGCTGGAGTGCAGTGGCACGATTTTGGCTTACTGCAACCTCCACATTCTGGGTTCAAGCGATTCTCCTGCCTCAGCCTCCAGAGTAGCTGGGATTACAGGCATGCGCCACCACACTCGGCTAATTTTCTTGTAGTTTTAGTAGAGACGGGCTTTCACCATGTTATCCAGGTTGGTTTTGAACTCCTGGCCTCAAGTGATCTGCCTGCCTCGGCCTCCCAAAGTGCTAGGATTACAAGCGTGAGTCATCACGCCCAGCCAATGACTGTTTTTTGTTTGTTTGTTTGTTTGTTTTTGAGGCGGAGTCTCGCTTTGTCGCCTAGGCTGTAGTGCAGTGGCGCGATCTCGGCTCACTGCAAGCTCCGCCTCCGGGGTTCACGCCATTCTCCTGCCTCAGTCTCCCGAGTAGCTGGGACTACAGGCGCCCGCCACCACGCCCGGCTAATTTTTTGTATTTTTAGTAGAGACGGGGTTTCACCGTGTTAGCCAGGATGGCCTCGATCTGCTGACCTCGTGATCCACCCGCCTCGGCCTCCCAAAGTGCTGGGATTACAGGCGTGAGCCACCGCGCCCGGCCCCAGTGACTGTTTTTTTTTAAACTAGCATGTTACTCTCTTTACAGCTCTGAAGAGACTGAGGGACTCAGCCAATGCCAACGATGTGGAAACAGGTGAGTGTGCACAGTGGGTTCCACTACAGGGACCCATGGGCTGGTTGGGGAAGGAAAAGGCCAGGTAATCAGTATATGGGAAGGCAGTCTACAAGCTCACCCCCTTGGAGCAGGCTCACGTATTTATTGTCTGACTGTGCAGTCATCTTGCTGAAGGTAAGTCTAGCTTAGACACTCACTTTCCCCATGCTCCCCTGTCACTTTGTACTTCCTGATGTCATAGCATTTACCACCCTGTGGAATCCTTGATGGTGGAGACCATGTATACTTTTGTATCCCTGGCAGCCAGCATGGTCCTCTGCAAAGAGTAGGCACTCACTTTGGAACTTCTGGTTAATGGGAGTGAATACTCAACTTAGCTGCCACAGCCAGGTGAGGTGGCTCATGCCTGTAATCCCAGCACTTTGGGAGGGTAAGGCAGGAGGATCACTTGAGCTCAGGAGTTCGAGACCAGCCTGGACAACATAGGGAGACCCCGTCTCTACAAAAAGTAAATGTTGGCGGGGCGTGGTGGCTCACACCTGTAATCCCAGCACTTTGGGAGGCCGAAACGGGCAGATAAAACAAGGCCAGGCACGGTGGCTCACGCCTGTAATCCCAGCACTTTGGGAGGCTGAGGTGGGCGGATCATAAGGTCAGGAGATCGAGACCATCCTGGCTAACACGGTGAAACCCTGTCTGTACTAAAAATACAAAAAATGAGCCGGGCGTGGTGGCGGGCACCTGTAGTCCCAGCTACTCCGGAGGCTGAGGCAGGAGAATGGCGTGAACCTGGGAGGCGGAGCTTGCAGTGAGCCGAGATCGCACCACTGCACTCCAGCCTGGGCGACAGAGCAAGACTCCGTCTCAAAAAAAAAAAAAAGATAAAACAAGAAATATACAGTATAGGCCTGGCACAGTGACGCTTGCCTGTATTCCCAGCATTTTGGGAGGCTGAGGTGGGCAGATCTCTTAAGGTCAGGAGGTCCAGACCAGCTTGGCCAACATGGTGAAAACCTGTCTTTACTAAAAACACAAAAATCAGCTGGACATGGTGGCATGTGCCTGTATTCACAGCTACTTAGGAGGCTGAGGCAGAAGAATCACTTGAACCTGGGAGGTGGAGGGTGCAGTGAGCCGAAATCGTGTCGCTGCAGTCCAGCCTGGGCAACAAAATGAGACTCCACCTCAAAACAAAAAGTACAGTATAGTTGGAGAGGAAGGACGTAATGTGATATTATTTCCAAAAACACGCACACACACACAAAAGTAAAGTTAGTGTTTAATTGAAGAGGTGTAAATTTTGGAGCCAGAAAAACATGGGTTTATATTCCAGCTTTGCCTCCTGTTATCTGGGTTAATGTAACTTACATCCTTTGTAATGTCTTTGACCTGAGGTGTCCTGGTCTGTAAAATGCACTTGACACCATGCTGGGTCATTGAGGGGTTCAGCATTCAGGTACCTAATGCCTGACTGGTGCTCATTGTATGGTAACAATTCCCCTAAAATAGCACAAGATGTTAATAGTAGAGGAAGAGGATGAACAGGTCACTAAGTGGGTATGGAAGTGGGAGGGGCTGACTCAGCTTGAGGAGACAGCTGGATTCCCAGAGAGGAAGCTGTCGGGACTTCATCTGAAAGGACTCAAGTCCTTGAGAGGTTTGCTGGGTGAAAGAGACTAAAACATCTGCTCTAAAATGGCATTTGGCAGCAATTTTCTCCATTTTAGCTGGACATGTACATTAGTACATAATGCGTCACATTTATAGTGCCTCCCTACTTTTCAAAGAAGGAATTTCATATCCATTATTTTCATCACAGCAGCTCTGGAAATTAGCAGGGCAGATATTTCCATTTGCTGGTGAACTGGGACCCAAATCCAGGCCTTTGTACTCCCAAGTCAGTCTTTCCACTGCCCCATGCTGTTGGCAATGTACTCCTTTTTCATCCTTTTTTCCTCTATATAATTTCAAATGACCTGTCTTTAAGCTCAGAGGTTCATTTTTCTGCTTGTTCAAGTCTGCTGTTGAAGTTATTATATGTTTTATTTCATCCATTGACTTCTTTAGCTACAGGATTTCTGTTTATTTGCTTTTTTTCTTTCTTTCTTTTTTTTTTTTTTTTTTTTGAGACAGGATCTTACTCTGTCACTTAGGCTAGAGTGCAGTGGCACATTCTCGGCTTATTGCAACCTCCTCCTCCTAGGTTCAAGCGATTCTCCTGCCTCAGCTACCCAAGTAGCTGGGATTACAGGCGCCTGCCATTATGTCCGGCCAATTTTTGGATTTTTTCAGTAGGGACAGGGTTTTATCATGTTGGCCAGGCTGGTCTTGAACTCCTGACCTCAGGTGATCCACCTGCGTCAGCCTCCCAAAGTGCTGGGATTACAGGCGTGAGCCATTGCGCCCAGCCTGTGGATACTTTTACTCAGAGTTATCTCCATGAGATTCACCCATGAATACTACCTGTATCAGTACAGTCTTCCTTCAGCATCCTCGGAGGATGGCTGCCTGCTGGGAACAAAGCATAGGCCAATAGCTTGGGCAGCTGTTTGCAGCCAGAATGGATGTGTATCCAAGCTGAGGTCAGGGGAGGGGGGCCACTCTCTATGCTAGGGATTCTTGTGACTCTAAAATTTCTGACCCTGAGGGCCTAGAACCTCCTATGTATCACTAGGCGTGTAGTTTGAGCACACAGAATCCATGGCCCTCAGTTATGCCCTCAGATGAACAAGTCGCTTGTTCCCATGGGACCAGCATCCAGGAACGGCTGCTTTCCTATGCATTGTCGATGTCTTGTCTAGAGGTACCCCTGAGCCTCCCTCTCCATCCCTCGAGTCTGCAGCTTAGCTAACATCGCCGCTTTCTCCCCCTTTCTCCCTCTGTCTTGGTGGTGTCAGTGCAGCAGCTGCTGGAAGATGGCGCGGATCCCTGTGCAGCTGATGACAAGGGCCGCACAGCTCTACACTTTGCCTCCTGCAATGGCAATGACCAGATTGGTGAGTCCTAGGGAGGGAGGAGGGAGTGGGGCTGGGCAAGTAGTATCTCTGCACAGGCCTTCGGGGAGATACTGCTGTCTGCACAGCCTTGGGATGCTCAGTTGTCCTGGATATAAGGAAGATTTGGCACTGCAGTGCCCTGCCCTTCTCCCTCCATTAGCCTGTGGAACTGGCACTGCTAGACTGGGGCAGGGTAAACCTGGGGGAGATAATATGATTGACTGAGGGTGAAGGGATGTCTCCAACTAAGAGACCACTGGAGAGTCCAGGGCCCAGGCCTTTAAGACATTCAGGTAACATTTACTCAGGGCCAACCACAGCAGCAGGACAACTTTTCTTGTCTTTTTTTTTTTTTTTTGAGATGGAGTCTCGCTCTGTCGCCCAGGCTGGAGTGCAATGGCACAGTCTCGGATCACTGCTACCTCCGCCTCCTGGGATCAAGCGATTCACCTGCCTCGGCCTCCTGAGTAGCTGGGATTATAGGTGCCTGCCACCACATGTTATTTCTTTTTTTTTTTTTTGAGACAGAGTCTCCCTCTGTCGCCCAGACTGGAGTGCAGTGGCGCGTTATCAGATATCAGCTCACTGCAAGCTCTGCCTCCCGGGTTCACACCATTCTCCTGCCTCAGCCTCCTGAGTAGCTGGGACTATAGGCACCTGCCACCATGCCCGGATAATTTTTTGTATGTTTTTAGTAGAGACGGGGTTTCACTGTATTAGCCTGTATAGTCTCGATCTACTGACTTCATGATCTGCCCGCCTCAGCCTCCCAGAGTGCTGGGATTACAAGCGTGAGCGACCGCACCCGGCCACACCTGGTTAATTTTTTGTATTTTTTAGTAGAGATGGGGTTTCACCATGTTGACTAGGCTGGTCTTGAACTCCTGACTTCGTGATCCACCCGCCTTGGCCTCCCAAAGTGCTGGGATCACAGGCATGAGCCACTGAGCCGGCCTGTGCATACTTTTACTCAAAGTTATCTCCATGAGATTCACCCATGAATACTGCCTATATCAATACAGTGTTCCCTCAGTATCCTCAGGGAATTGGTTCCAGGACCCCACTCAGATACCAAACTCCATGGATGCTCAAGTCCCTTAAAGTTGGCGCTCCATATCCTCGGGTTCTGAGTCCAGGGTTCATTGAATCTGTGTACACAGAACTCACAGTTAGGGAGGGGGGTGGACTGTAGTTTGTACTGTCTTATGCTGGTTCGCATTTCATTGTGATACACCCCGTTTATCCATTCTACTGTTGATAGACATTTGTGTTGTTTCCAGGTTTTAGCTTTATGAGTAGAGCATTGTGAACATTCTTGCATATGTGATTTGTGGCTGTAAGCACTCATGTATCCTCTATAAACCTAGGAATGGCATTGTTGGGTCACTCGGTTACACATGTAGTTAGCTTTGGTAGGTGCTACTAAACCTTTTCCCAAAGGGGATGTACTGACACACTCCCACTCCCCACCAGCAGTGTAAGAGAGTTCCACCTTTCCCCACGTCCCTGCCAGTGCTTGCTGTTGTCTCTCTTTAATCTTAGCCCTTTTGGTGTCTCATAGTGGTTTAATTTGCGTTTCTCTGATGGCCAATAATGTTGAGTGCCTCTTCATGTGTTTATTGGCTTTTTTTTTTTTTTTTTGAGATGGAGTCTTGCCTGTCGCCCATGCTGGAGTGCAGTGGCGTGATCTCAGCTCACTGCAACCTCCACCTCCCGGGTTCGAGTAATTCTCCTGCCTCAGCCTCCCGTGTAGCTGGGACTACAGGCACGCATCACCACACCCAGTCAATTTTTTTATTTTTAGTAGAGACGGGGTTTCACCATGTTGGCCAGGCTGGTCACAAACTCCTGACCTCAGGAGATCCGCCTGTCTCGGCCTCCCAAAGTACTGGGATTACAGGCGTGAGCCACCACGCCCGGTCCATTTGTTTTTTTTCTAACTTTAAGTTCTAAGATGCATGTGCAGAACATGCAGGTTTGTTACATAGATATACATGTGCCATGGTGGTTTGCTGCACCCATCAACCTGTCATCTAGGTTTTAAGCCCCTCATGCATTAGGTATTTGTCCTAATGCTCTCCCTCCCCTTGGCCCTCACCCCCTGACAGGCCCCAGTATGTGATGTTCCCCTCCCTGTGTCCAATTATTGACCATTTTTACATCCTCTTTTATGAATTATATGTTCAAATCTTCTGTCCATTTTTTTAAAAACAAGGTTTCTGCCTTTTTTTGAGACAAAGTCTCACTCTGTCATCCAGGCTTACGTGCAGTAGCATGATCACTGCCCACTGCAGCCTCAATCTCCTAGGCTCAAACAATCCTCCAGCCTCAGCCTCCCAAGTAGCTGGGATTACAGGTGCACACCACCACGCCCAGCTAATTTTTTTTTTTTTTTTTTCTGGAGATGGAGTCTCTCTCTGTTGCCCAGGCTGGAATGCAGTGGTGCTATCTTGGCTCACTGCAAGCTCCGCCTCCCGGGTTCACGCCATTCTCCTGCCTCAGCCTCCTGAGTAGCTGGGACTACAGGCGCCTGCCACCACACCCGGCTAATTTTTTGTATTTTGTTTAGTAGAGACGGGGTTTCACCGTGTTAGCCAAGATGATCTTGATCTCCTGACCTTGTGATCCGCCCACCTTGGCCTCCCAAAGTGCTGCGATTACAGGCGTGAGCCACTGTGCCCGGCCCCTACTTTTATTTATTTATTTATTTATTTATTTGAGACAGAGTCTCACTCTGTTGCCCAGGCTAGAGGGCAGTGGTGCAATCTCGGCTCACTGCAAGCTCTGCTTCCCAGGTTCAAGCTATTTTCCCACCTCAGCCTCCTGAGTAGCTGGGATTACAGGTGCACGCTACCACACTCAGCTAATTTTTTATTTTTAGTAGAGACGGGATTTCCCCATGTTGGCCAGGCTGGTCTCAAACTCCTGACCTCAGATGACCTGGCTGCCTTGGCCTCCCGAAGTTCTGGGATTACAGGCATGAGCCACTATGCCCGGCCATGTTCTTAATTTTAATGAATCCAATTTATCAATATTTCTTTTCTTTTTTTTTTTTGAGACAGGGTCTGGCTCTGTTGCCTAGGCTGGAGTGCATGGCACATCTTGGCTGACTGCAACCTCCGCCTCCTGGGCTCAAGCCACCCTCCCACCTCAACCTTCCAAGTAGCTGGCACTACAGGTCTGTCACCACTATGCCCAGCTAATTTTTGTATTTTTAGTATAGAGAAAGAGTTTCTCCATGTATCCCAGGCTGGTCTTGAACTTCTGAGCTCAAATGATCCACCTGCCTCAGCATTCCAAAGTGCTGGGATTACAAGCCTGAGCTCCCATGCCTGGCCTTTTCTTTCTTATGGTTAGTATTTTTGTGACCTATTTAAGAAATCTTTGCCTGCCCAAGATGTTCATATTCTTCCAGAAGCCTGACTGTTTTAGCTTTCACACTTAGGTCTATGGTCCCTTTTGAATTAGTTTGTGTATACGGTGTGAGGCTCAGCCTGACCTCCCTGTATGATGTCTGGGAGCCAGGCTACCTGCCTATGCATCCCTCTGGGTATTGGCAGACCCTGATGGTAATACAGCCACCCCTGAGGTGACCCCAAGAGTGCCAGGAGGGAGAGGTTATCCATGGAGCTCAGCATCGTTTATTGACTTAATTCCCCCCATGGTGCTTGGCTGTGGGAGAAGCAGAAAATGCCCTGGAGAGCCTTCACCAGGAGCAGCTGCTATTGGAAGAAATTTACTTAACCCTTCAAGTCTCATTCCTACACCTGCATAGGCCAAGAGGCCCTCCCCAAATCCTCAGTTCCTGGCCCTCAAGGCCTTGCACATGAACTCTGGTAAGTGAGTGAGTAAGTGAATGAATGAAGTAACATAGCCATCCATGCTTGCATTCCATGTCCCCTACTCTGAGCCAGTCTCTCTAGCGAGGTTAGGGGTTCAGGGTCCAGGCAATGGAAGCCTCTGACAGCTCCTCTTGGGTTTGCCTGTCTCCAGTGCAGCTGCTCCTAGACCACGGTGCTGATCCTAACCAGCGAGATGGGCTGGGGAACACGCCACTGCACCTGGGTAAGCATGTCAGAAGTCACTAAGACCACTCATTTGCAGCAAAGAAAGGCTCTTTAGATGAAGAGCCTGGGGCCCTGTATGCTCCCAGCAGTATCTGTGAGTGTCAGGGAAGATCCTAGGCCTGCACTCCCAGAGCTGCCCTCCCCAGCAGCCTGTGTCCCGTGGGTCATTTAGCAGTTGGCTGTGCCCTCGACAGAGTCAATTTAGCAACCTAGGCTAGCCCAGCAGCACTCAGCACTGTGACTCACAGTGAGGCAGATCCCATCTCCAGGCCTCAGTTTCCTCTGCTGTACAGGGAGGGAGTTGAACTTGGCTGCCGAGTCCTACCCAGCTGTTGCCTTGGCGATACCTTCTCAGTAGGCATAACTTGGCACAGGCATCTGGGAGACACAGCCCTGCTCCCTCCAGTGGCCACACAGAGCCAGGCTCTGGTGGTCCTGGATTCTTATTTTTTTTTTTGAGATGGAGTCTTGCTCTGTCGCCCAGGCTGGAGTGCAGTGGCCGGATCTCAGCTCACTGCAAGCTCCGCCTCCCAGGTTCACGCGATTCTCCTGCCTCAGCCTCCCAAGTAGCTGGGACTATAGGCGCCCGCCACCTCGCCCGGCTAGTTTTTTGTATTTTTTAGTAGACATGGGGTTTCACCGTGTTAGCCAGGGTGGTCTCAATCTCCTGACCTCGTGATCCGCCCGTCTCGGCCTCCCGAAGTGCTGGGATTACAGGCTTGAGCCACTGTGCCCAACCAGTCCTGGATTCTTAAGTCTCTGTTCTTCTTCCTCAGCGGCCTGTACCAACCATGTCCCTGTCATCACCACACTGCTACGAGGAGGTATGTGGTTTCTTCCCCTCTCTGCCCTCTCTCTCCCCTACTCATCTCCAGAATGCTCACCTTAGCTGGTACCTGCAGGGGCCCGTGTGGACGCCCTGGACCGAGCTGGCCGCACACCCCTGCACCTGGCCAAGTCGAAGCTGAACATCCTGCAGGAGGGCCATGCCCAGTGCCTGGAGGCTGTGCGGCTGGAGGTGAAGCAGGTGAGTACCCCTCCTGTGTGGAGCCCACGGCACCACGGCAGCACTGGACAGATGCTGCCCTAACCACAGACACACCTGCCTCTGGCCCCAGGGCTCCTGGGTGTTCACACTGACCCCAGTTGGCGCCTGCTCCACTGTGCTTTCTGGAAGCAGCATCAACCTCTCTGCCTCCCTGGGAACCCAGGCAGCTCAGCTCACCGTCTTGTTCCAGATCATCCATATGCTGAGGGAGTATCTGGAGCGTCTAGGGCAACATGAGCAGCGAGAACGCCTGGACGACCTCTGCACCCGTCTGCAGATGACCAGTACCAAAGAGCAGGTGAGCTGCAGCCGCAGGCCCAGACCCAGGGCCTGGCAGGAACCTCAGGGCCAGTCCACCCTGCTCCGATGCCACCAGACACTCGTATCAGAAAGAGGCTGTGAGCTGGGACCAGCTGCAGAGGCTAACACCTGTAATCCCAACACTGTGGGAGGCTGAAGTGGGAGGATCACTTGAGGCCAGGAGTTCAAGGCTGCAGTGAGCTGTGATTGCCACTGAACTCCAGCCTGAGTGACAAAGCAAGGCCCTATCAGAACATGTGGAAAAAGGCAAAAATTATAAAAACAAACAAGCAACAACAACAACAACAAAAAAACAGAACAAGGCCCTGTCTCCAAAAAAAAAGTGGGGGAAAGAGACTGTGATTGTGGGGTTGCAGGCTTCAAAGCCTTCGTTCACTTCCTTTGAAGTTGCCAGTGGCTAGTGTATGTTCATGGCACTGCCCTCTAGGACAGCCCTAGGCCACCTGGTGTCAAAGATTAACCCTTGGTCAGCTGCTGCATAGTCAGAAGCCACCACACACCCTGGGAGGAGAGACCATGCCTATGTTCTGTGCCTGTGGGATTGTGGAAGAGACCCGGGAGCCTGGCACACCCCATGTCCCATAACAGAGCCTCTGTCCCGTCCTGCAGGTGGATGAGGTGACTGACCTCCTGGCCAGCTTCACCTCCCTCAGTCTGCAGATGCAGAGCATGGAGAAGAGGTAGCAAGAGAGGCTCCCTGCCTTCCTGTCACTGCCCCACCCTGCCCCACTGCTGTCTCAGTACCAAGAAAAAGCCCAGCAGCATCTGGGACTTGGAGCTGCACATGTCTGGTGAGGACCTTGCCCTCACCCACAGATGCCATGGGGCAGAGATGCTCTTTCCACGGCCTCAGAGCCACTCCCAGCCACAGTCTCCAGCATCTCTGTGGACAGGGATCACAGCTCCCAGCTTCTTCCAGTTCCCGCAGCACCAGACCAGCCTCTGCAGCTGCACTTCAGCTCCGCAGACCTGCACTGTCCCAGCAGACCTCACTTGCCCCATGGCCTTCATGGCGCCTTCCAGGCCTCAAACCCTTCTCTGCGTTCCATCCTGGCCACAGGCTTATTGCAGTCAGCAGGTGTGGGCTTAGGCGGGTACCCTGTGGCCATGGGGACTGCGTGGGGCCCTTAGTTGGTTCTGTGCCTCTCACCAGCACTTAGACACGTCACCAGACTTTCAAGGAGATACTGCAGTGAGTTTCTCTGGTTGGAAGGGGAGGGATGGTGAGTCCTAGACCTTAAAAATACAAGGTTAAGAGGGATCCCAAAGCAAAAAATCCCAACCCTTTTCCTCCCAGTCATTGAAACACCAAAACTATTATACCGGAGGGTGTAATGGTTTTGCAGTCTGGTTGTGGTAGGCCAGTAGTGGCCCCCCAAGATACCTATGTCCTAATCCCAGGAACCTGTCAAAATTACCTTATATGGCCATAGGGGCTTTGCAGATGTAATGAAGTTAAGGATCTTTGGTCGGGAAGATTGTCCCGGCTTGTCCAGGCAGGCTTGATGTCCTCATCTGGGTCCATATAAGAGCAGAGCAGGTGACGGGAGAGCAGGTGGGAGGTGTAGTGATGGAGCAGGAAACTGGAGTTGAGGACAGCTCAAGCCGCGGAGTCCAGGCCACCTCAGAGCCAGGAAACACATTCTCCCACAGAGCCCTGCAAGGCCCCAGCCCTGCTCCCACCTGGACTGGCTCAGTGAGGCTGATTTTAGAATTCTGGCTGATTTTAGAACTCTTAAGGAAATAAATTTGTGTTGTTTTAAGTCACTAAGTGTGTGGTAATTTATTGCAGCAGCAACCAGAAACTAGTATTGTAATGAAGCCCCAAAACTCACCTTGAGGTTTTCAGTCCTGTCAGCAGCCCCCCCGCAGCCCGCCGCAGGAGCACCAGTCCTTCGCTGTGAGCCATGGACAGGCAGAAGGAAGCGTGCCCTCATGGCAGAGGCCTGCTCAGGGGAAATCCAGGAGAAGGCACTGCTGGGCCTGCCCCTGCGCCAAGGCTGCTGATGGCAACTTTCTCCAGGTGATCAGTCTGTGTCCCGCCTGGCTCTGCCCTACTCTCCCCTTCACCAAGTTGGAATCCTTGGCTGCCTTTCACAGGAGGAGAGTGTGTTCCCAATCCCAGATCTGCTCAGGTATGGCTCAGATCTGCAGTGAACTTATAGAACCAGGCCCTGGAGGAAAAAAGGGTCTGTCTGTGGGTATGAGATGGAGGGTAGGCCTGTCCCCAGGAGCCTGCGAGAGGGAAGCCCAGTGCCCCACCAGGTTGGCAGGGCTGGGGAAGGGAAAGTGTCATGGCCCCAAGCCTGAAGAGAGGTGGCAGAGGGGGCTGTAGGGAGCGCCCGTGGAACTCAAGCCGCTGCCTGAGGGAGATAAGGGAGAACTGCACCCCAGTCACATGGGTGGCAGAGGTGCGGTTCTGGGGCAGCTTTTCACTCACTTCCTGCCATGTTACTGTGATCCCCTCCAGGTAAGCCTGCCCACTCTCTGGGCCCAGGGTTGCCGTTGTACCCAAACACAGCTCCCTATGGCCATGGTCCCAGGAGTGGGGCAGAGCAGGGAGGAGTCCAGGACAGAGAGGCAGGGGCAGGAGGGAGCGGGCCTCAAACTTCAGGAAGGGGGCTTTCTCATGGGTCCTGCTTGCTGGGCCTCTCCTCTCTCACCCCGGGCTGATCACCTGGGGAAGCCTAGGCAGGCTGCTTGGTATTTGCAGAGCTGAGAGCTGGGGCATGCTGGGACTGTGAAATGGCCCTGAGATGACCCACAGTCCTCACCTGGGAAGCAAGGCCTGTGTCTCCTGCAGCATCCTCCATCCCTGGAGCCATGGATCCAGGAGAACTGGCCCTGGCGGAGGTGAAGAGTATATTGTTGACTCCCTTCCTGGCCACGTAGACAGTGAACCAAAGGCTTGACTGAGGTGGCTTATAGGTCAGTCATCAAACACTTGCCAGACAGCCATGTAGACAGCCAATCTAATCTGCCTCACCCCATTTCCAGCCAGGATATTTCCTGTAACCCCAATTGTGTCTGAAGAGCCAGCCAGATAAAGTCGGCCCCAGACACTGGAGTGAGTCAGAAAACACCCAAGTGGTCCCTGAGCTGGCTGGACTGGGCAGGATAGAGAGCTCAGTGGTCCCTGAGCTGGCTGGACTGGGCAGGATAGAGAGCTCAGTGGTCCCTGTTCCCTTGAGCTGCTGGACTGGCAGGATAGAGAGCTCGTGGTCCCTGAGCTGGCTGACTGGGCAGCGATAGGAGAGCTCAGTGGTCCCTGTAGCTGGCCATACGGCAGGCAGGATAGAGAGCTCAGCTGAGGTTGATCCTTGCAGGTGATGAGTTCTCTGGTGCTGGCTGACTCTGGGAATGTACTGAAGAGTCAGGGACAGGTGGGGGAGGATAGGCTAGGAGTATGGGCAGGTAAGAAGAAACTCACATTGTTGATTTCACCTTGTGGGGGTTAAGATCACTTTGCCTTATACTCGCGTTTCTTCACGTTATAGAAATATGACCGCAGGTTAAGAAATATTGGGCTGGGCGTGTGTGGCTCTATGCCTTGTGAATCCTAACACTTTTGGGCGGTCCAATGCTGGTGAATCACCCTATGTCTGTCAGTGAGTTCGAGACCAGCATGCCAACATGGCGAAACCCCATTCTCTATCCCAAAATATTTAGCTTCAGAACGTGGTGGTGTGTTGTCTCTGTAATCCTCAGCACTTGGTGAGGCTGAGGCCCAAGAAGAATTGCTGGTAATCTCAGGAGGCGGAGATTACAGTGATCCGAGATAGCTGAGCCACTTCACTCACAGCCTGGGCAATAATGTATAGTGAGACTTCCATCTTCAATATAAATAAATAAATAAATACAATAATAGAAGGTATTGACTTATTGACATAGTGCTTGCTATTGCTAAGCAGTGCCTAGGATGGGAGGACAGCAGGGAACGAAAGGACAAACTCCCCTGCCCCTTGCCCACTTGGCAAACGTGGGAAGCGCCTTGGAGGAAATAAGCAGATCGTCACAACCATCCTGTAAGAATATGTGGCCTCAGCCAGGCGCAGTAGCTCACACCTGTAATCCCAGCCACTTTGGGAGGCCGAGGCAGGTGGATCACTTGAGTCCAGGAGTTTGCATCAGCTGGCCAATATGGTGAAACCTGTCTCTACTAAAAAATACAAAAACTTAGCTGGCTATGAT